TTTACAGGGCATTTCTCACGATGTTTTATTTCCCATTTAATGCTTCCACTTTGTTTTCCTGTTTTTCAGGCCATCAAGGACACCAAAGAAAAGTATGTAATAATAATTATTATATATTTTTTATTAAAAAGTATGCTACTTAAAGATTGTATTTATCAGGAGATGATTCCAGGCCTCTTAAAGAAGGAACAAAATTAACTAGTAATCAATATTATATGAAGAATTCTGGACTGAGTGGAGTGACTGATGCTGATTCTCAGCCACCGTCCTCTAGGGGGCACTTCAGACCCCACAGCATCACTGACTCCTGCCTGTCACTGTCTTTGCAGAGCCCAGTGCTCACTGCAGGACCCAGAGCTGGAGTCCGGGGTGCTGATAGATGTGGCCAAACACCTGGGCTCTCTGAAGTTCAGAGTCTTGGAGAAGATGCAGGGGACTGTGCAGTACAGTGAGTACTGGGGGAAATGGCTGTATGAAGGAGAGAGCAGTATCTGAGTGGGTTATACTGTCCCTCACTGGGAGCTCAGCCTAGCAGCACTGGTACAGTGAGTACTGGGGGAAATGGCTGTATGAAGGAGAGAGCAGTATCTGAGTGGGTTATACCGTCACTCACTGGGAGCTCAGCCTAGCAGCACTAGTACAGTGAGTACTGGGGGAAATGGCTGTATGAAGCAGAGAGCAGTATCTGAGTAGGTTATACCATCACTCACTGGGAGCTCAGCCTAGCAGCACTGGTACAGTGAGTACTGGGGGAAATGGCTGTATGAAGCAGAGAGTAGTATCTGAGTGGGTTATACTGTCACTCACTGGGAGCTCAGCCTAGCAGCACTGGTACAGTGAGTACTGGGGGAAATGGCTGTATAAAGCAGAGAGCAGTATCTGAGTGGGTTATACTGTCACTCACTGGGAGCTCAGCCTAGCAGCACTGGTACCTGTCTCACGTTGATCTGTTATTGTCCTTCCCGTTACGTTTCTTTGGACTAAAGCATCTGATAATTCTTGTGATCACTTATCCAAGGCTTTATTAACCTTTGAGAAATATTCACTAATCTATTGACATTCATCTTAACAGTGCTGACAGATAGAAATGATTTTTTGTTTCAGAAAGTTTTAAATATGTCATAATGGTATTACTAACATTCCCATTTATAATCCTCCACTTTCCACTTAATCACTTTATTGATAAACTATCTCACTGTAAAATGTTAATTTTATAACACTGATGGTTTTTTACTGCATTGAGAGAGATTATTAACTGCAGCTTCCTCTCCAACCCACAGCTCCTGTGACTCTGGACCCAAACACTGCAGCCCCCTGGCTCTCTGTGTCTGATGATCTGACCAGCGTGAGACACGGGGAGCTGGTTGTTAACTCCAGTGACAACCCAGAGAGACCACGAGCCTTCCGGCGTGTCCTGGATTCTAGAACACTACTCGGGGGGACTGGAGCTTTCAATACTAACTCACTCTATTGAAGACACATTCACTGGGAGCCTGTTTCCATACTTAGATACGGGTCTGAATAAAGATGGTAGCAATGCTGGAGATATAAAGATCTGTCCAGCAAAGGTGTGTGTAACAGTGACATCATCCCAGTAAAGGTGTGTGTGACAGTGACATCATCCCAGTAAAGGTGTGTGTGACAGTGACATCATCCCAGTAAAGGTGTGTGTGACAGTGACATCATCCCAGTAAAG